AGAAACCTCCACTCTATCCGCTAGGCCATCCGATGCTCGACACTGCCAGCGCTCTTATCGTTGATGAAACCATTGCAAGAAGCCGTTCACCCTTGAGCACATGACCCAAGTTGGAAGCTCAGTTAAGGCAGTTTTTCGCTTCGATTCAAACAGCCCTTATAAGGACCCCCACTCAGCAACTGGTCAAAGTTGCAAGTGACCTACGCCGTATAGAGGCCCAGAACGAAGCAGATTCCACAGATTTCTTTTCACTCGTTTTTTACCTTTTCGTGGGAAGCGCGCGCAGCGAAAATGAAGCACACTTTTCAGGTCCTTGCATGAGCCCCTACAATAAGCAAAAAACCGTTTTCGAAAAGCGCACCACTCCCTTGTTAGAGACAGCCCACAGTTAATAGGAACCAAGTTAGGCAGCCCACAGTTCATAGGAACCAACTCATTACAAGCCTAGTAGTAGTATGCCCCTCTCCCCCCCCCCCCCCTCTTTTTTCTCCCCCTCACCCAAATTCTATAAACGTAGCCTGAGCGTGGGCATTAGGAGATAATGATATCGAGCCATTCTTAGGAAGTTCAGCTTTTAGTATGAACGAGCTATACGTGGTCAAGAGCAATAGCTGGAACCCCCACTTCTCTTAACCTGTGCTGGAAACTTGCGACAAGGTGGCGTTGGTTAGAACCCTGGGGATATGTGGCTAGAATCTTAAGGCACGCGGAGAAACAGATTGGCCGGACTCAAGCTTCTTCTTCCTCGTGGTAACACGGAATTTTCGCTAATTTTGTGTTCTTCTTTTGTGCAAGCAGTCATTCGGTGGAAGTGTCATTAGGTTATCGAACTAACCTTTCGACACCACTTCACACACTCTCCTTTGCGCATAGTTCATGCTAATCATCATTTCGATGATTACACTCTCCACCGGTTAATGCGATTCAGTGTAACGGAAGAGCCAGTTGGGTTACAGCGAATTCACAGGTCTTTCAGCGTGGCTGTACAAGCCTGTGGTCTGGCAGTACAATTGGGCGCCCCACCGGGCCGGACTGGGTCGTGTACATTGATGGCAACGAGTGCGATTGATTAGGCGTCTTTCCTTCCACACAAGGAACTGGAACTACCTGCTGGAGCGCCCACTGCGGTCATCGTTGATCCAGGGCCAATAGCACCAACAGCAGTCTCATCGCTCACGTCCACCTGAATGTTACTCATCATCAATAGACTACGTCAAAGGTAATAGCGCTAGCGCTAATGCTTGATCTGTTCACACACATGACCCTCAATATCACTCTCCCTAACTTCCCTACTCATTGGGAAGGACGACCTTCACTGACTGGAAATGCTCGAATGCGTGGAAGTGAAGATTGTGATTAGTCACAGTGGATATCTGGCTTCAAGAAAACATTTTGGCTAACGTGTCACGCGCACCACGTAGGGGGCCTTAGCTCACTAGCGTCAATATCTTCGCCTTGGACTTTGTACTACCTTTCTTATTTTGGTTTCATCGCCCATGGTTTTTTTATTTTTACAATTTTCACCGTTGCAGGCGCACAATACTTCTCCTCTCCCACTCGTCATCTTTGCCAGAGTACATCAAGCGATGGAGATTTTGATTCAAGCTCCCCGTCCCACCCCTGAAGCGGCCGAGGCTTCGGTACCACACGAGCTCATCCCACGGGTTGAGAGTATACAATAAAACACTTTCCCTGGTTTCTTAGCACCTTTCGCCGACCCTTAACGCCATCCATCAAGAGCAACTTTGTGGGATGAAGCGCGCAGAACCCGTTTCCTGTGTACCATTTCAATGGAGCTACCTGGACACTGAGTGCACCTAATGCCGTTTGGCGCCGCCCGATACTCCTGGACCGGTCCGCGGCAAAAAATAAGTTGTGCGAGGACGTGATCAGCGATACCATACCTTAAACATTCTCACGCGCCCAATACGTGAAATTTCGCCTCAGGCGTGCCGGAGATGTAGGGCATAGATGATACTTTCCGTGTTGACATTCTGTTCATTGGGGTGCTCTATCTTATGAGCCGTGTACAACATCCCGGAGGTTCTGTTCAAAAGGCTTATTTAGTACGAAGAACATCGTTACAATATGATGGACTGCTGATTTTTGATTTGATTTTTTTTCTTGTTTATCGGGTTTATCTTCGAGTGTAGATTGGAGTGCTGGCTGAGATATCTATCTGCCCTAGCTCAGCGATCTTGTGATAACCTTGAAGCGAGAACTGCAGCGTTGAAAAGCAACAATCGCTCCTGTTCTCACAAGAAAATAGGACTTCCACTGCTCCTACCTTTTGAAGGGAAGTAGCTACTTCCGGTAAGATGTTTAAACCACAACCAAGATAACAACTTTATTTGGCTCACGTATCGGACAAACATGGTAGTCGAAACTCGAGCAAGCCGAGCTCCTAAGGCTCCGACGAAGGCGACAAGGCCGAAAGGTCAGCCAAACGAAGTTGTTAACATATTGGCTGTGGTTTTAACATTAAGTCAGAAGGACTTCACGCGATGCCATGCACTTGAAGTCGATCATGTTTGCCTGAGGAACGGTAAGCTACTGTTAATTTGAAAACGTAATATCACACTCAAAACGTTGACCCTCTGCGTCCGCGTCGCATGGAATTGCGATCTGCGGCAAAAGAAACAAAAGAAACACTCACCGAGACAGCCCTTGCACCCTACAACATAATCGCATGGCCTCGCCACAAAATCTCTCACGTCGGACTGGGGTTGCATGAAGTGGTGACCTAACTCAATCAGCAGTTTGGCGTAACAAAGACAATAAAATGGCAAGATATTTATTTAATCTATGATTGAACACAAAAAACAACAACGTTCTGAGATGCAATGGTTACTCCAAATACAACGTACAACTGATAGAAACCATGTAACAAAAACTAACTATGCCTAGTTATAACAACTACTATCTACTAAATTTACAACGTGCAACAATTGAGCGAAAGATGGATAACGTAACAAGTGGAATCAATAGTGCAAATTAGAAATAAATCCTAGCGGTCGGTGTTTTAGAACATTCCTCCTCCGCCCATTCCACCCATTCCTCCCAGAGGGCCCATGCCTGGCACTGGGTCCTCTTTAGGTAATTCATTAACAACACATTCCGTCGTAGCAAGTAACGAAGCTACACCTGCGGCATCTTGCAACGCCGTTCGCACAACCTGAACGACATGAGGTGACTCTGGATGTTCACGTACAGTGGATATTAGGAAAAGGACTTGTGACTTCTGGGAAATGGAACTCACGGAAGCTACAACAGCACTAGCTGATAGGAAAGTCGGACTTTGGAAGAGATCCTCACTTCAGAGACTACTGCACACAGCAGAACTTCATTACACATACCTTTGTGGGATCGATGATACCAGCGTCAAACATGTCGACAAACTTGTCATTGAGTGTGTCGTATCCGTAACCAGTATTGTCATGGGATCTGAGATAAAATGTTTACGAATGAATCAACGATGACACATAGCTACAAACCTTCTCAACTGTGGAAGCTGGTTCCAATCCGGCATTCCTGACAATAGTGCTGATTGGTAGACGAACTGCTTTTTTGATGATGTTTACACCCATTTGCTGATTTTCGCAGCCTACAATACGGATTTGCACAAATTTCAACTATTTAAGAATTCCGAAAAACCAGAGGAGGGCGCACCTTGAACCCTTCAAGAACTTCAAGAGCTCGAAGAAGCGCGACTCCTCCTCCTGCTACGATTCCCTCTTCATAAGCGGCACGGGTAGCACATAGAGCATCGGTAACGCGATCTTTCTTCTACTTCAGAAGCACCACTTACTTTCAAAACGGCGACACCTTTAGAAAGCTTTGCGAGACGTTCATTAAGTTTCTCCTGAAAGCCACGGGTTATTTGAAGCCGCGTTGTCCAATTATCTCCTCCACTCACAACCTTATCTTTTCATATTTCACTAGTGGGACGCCTGTTCGATTATCATCGCAATTTGCTCGATCCTTTGTCAATCTGAGCTGAATCACGTTTGCCACGCAGCAATAGGGTATCATCTTTAGTGATAGTCACCTCTTCGACCTGTCAATATGCGGAGTTGATTCATCCAAATATTTGAGAAATTGCCTGAACTGTACCTATCCGAAATCGCTGAGCTGAATGTCTTCAAGCTTAACCAAGTTTGAGTCGTCTCCAAACACAGTTCCTCCGGTCGCAATTGCCATATCCGTCAGCGTGTTTTTCCTGTAGTCACCGAATCCGGGTGCTTTCACAGCTACCACTTGCAGTCTGACCTAAAAGAAATAGTAGATTGCAGGTATAACCTCTCTGAAGTATGCAAATAACTGACCTTTAGACGGTTCAGCACCAAAATGGTTGGTGCTTCGCCATCCACGTCTATGCGATGACCACCAGAGGGTTTTCACTTTGTTAGCAAGTTCACACCGGGCTGCCAGGAACAATATCGTGCGCACTGGTGTGCGTGCAATCTTCTTCTCGCTCAACAGAACCAAAGCCTTCTCGTATTCGACCTAACAAATATCTCTTTTTCAGACATTGCACAACAGTCTGTAAAGCAAATAATGTGGGAGATTAAGGAGGGTCTGGAAAATCACGTAAAAGACGAAAAAGTGAAAAGTCAATCGATCCTTCTTTGGGATGGGGCATACTATTTCCACTCAGAGTAGCGGTGGCATTTTAAAGGAATCTGAACGTATTGCAGCGTTGAACAAGTTCAATCCGCCGAACCGCCCGCCGGTTCAGCGGTGAGGCGATTCTCTTGTGTTCAACGCCTTCACGCGGAAAAAACGTGAAAACATCGAACACCACACAGCAATGAAAACTACAAAAAGCGATAGCGAGAAAAGGGTGTAACAAAATAAGTGAGGAACTCACATTCACAGTAATTAACTGTCAGTGCGGCATAAAGAAACACCGAAATACGTAGAAATAGTAGTAGTAGTAGTAGTAGCTGAAAAGGATTTCCATGGGGTTATTTTTCTATTCTTCTTTTTTTTTCTATGTTCGCTCACGAGGGCGGGTATTACAAAAGGGTAAGCGTAAATTTCTTGCCCACAACCTGTTGCTTGTAAAGCGAGCTCAAGCGGTTCGTCCCCGCTTTCCCTTGCTGCGCGTCTGGGCTCTCTAGGTTTGTTAGAAAACATAAAAATAAAAAATACCAAAACGAAAGAAAGAAAGAAGAGAAGAAAAGAAACACAAAAGATTGAACATGAGGACGACGCACCCCAATGAAAGGAATTCAAACAGGGCGCCGGAAAGTAGCCATCTATCTCCCACATCTCCCGGCGCACCACTGAGCCGAAATTCAAGTCACTCGCTGAGAATGCACAGGTATGGCTACGTGATCACGTCGCTGCACAACTTATTTTCCGCCCGGCTGCAGGGAGATAGCGGGCGGCCAGAACCGGGCATTAGCGCCGACAGCTGGAGGTAGCACCTAGAACGAGATGCCGTTTGTACAGATGAAGTGGGCGGGGTAATGGGATTACTTTGGTTGCCCATATTAGCTTCATCTTTGGATACGCCATGCATTAGGCTCCCGCGGAGAGGTAGTGGGATGGTGCAACTTCTACGTAATATCTGTCCACGCGAGCAGATGTGTTCGAAGGGTTCATAAAGGTCTACACCCTACCTAGGGTTTGGTTGAATGCACTGTTTAGTCATCTAGGCACTTACAAATTATGTCGACTTATTAATACTAATCATTGACGGCTTCCGACGGCCGGACGGAACAATCCTCACATCCAAAAGGGCAATGGGAAGGTATCTACCGACTTCTGCTCTGATCTACTTGACAGCCACGCCGATCTGCCACGCGGGACTCGAGAGTGGGGATGGATAGCGTCCTTTCTGCACCTCTCCCTTCTGAAGTCGAACACTCATTCTCGTCGCGTTGAGGATAATCGTACGGAGCCACCCAGTCCGACAGAAACCAAGACCCGAATAACTAAAGACATCCGGCGTCCGCCCAAGCCTCTGATCAACGCTTTCGCCTCCTCCTCCGCGCTACCTGTTCGTGAATGCCCCAAGAAATCCATGCTTCGCGGAAAACCAGCAAGACTGTGTTGCTGTACAGGAAGGGAGACCTTCACGACACTGGCAATTATCGCCCAATCTGCTTGCTGCTCTTCACACGAGTCATCCTGAACAGGATTGGCAGAACACTAGATGAAGGACAGCCATGCGAGCAAGCAGGGTTTCGAAGAGGATTCAGCACGATCGATCACATCCACACGGTAACGAAGCTCATTGAAGTATCGCGAGAGTACAAGATGCCGTTATGTCTCACGTTCATCGACTTGAAGAAAGCCTTCGACTCCGTTGAGACAGAAGCGGTTATCGAAGCCCTGGGCAACCAGGGTATTCCTACTCAGTACATCAGGATTCTTCGTGAGCTCTACAGCAACTTCACGACCAAGATCTCACCATTCTACAAGATCATCATCGACGTGAAGAGAGGGGTCCGGCAGGGCGGTCTCGCTCAAGCTCTCCAGCGCCTCTCGTGAATACGTCATGCGTCAACTGGAATGGGAAGACATGGGAGTGAAGATCGACGGTCGGCAACTACACCATCTCCGCTTTGCTGACGACATCGTTTTGATAACACCAAACATCGAGCAAGCGGAACGAATGCTGGCTGATTTCGACTGCGCGTGTGGAAAAATCGGTCTACGGCTGAATCTAACGAAGACGATGTTCATGAGAAACGGATTGGTTTCTGATGCCCCATTCACGCTCAACGGAACGACCATCTGAATGCTCTAGCTATGTGTACCTAGGTCGTGAAATCAATATGATGAATGACTTAGCACCAGAGCTGAGCAGGAGGAAGCGAGCGGCTTGGGGAGCCTTCAAGAACATCGAGGGAGTAGCGAAGAAGACGAAGAACACCAAGCTCCGTGCCCACCCGCGATCCTTCCTGCTTTGATTTACGCCTCAGAGACTTGGACTCTACGAAAGCAGGATGAGCATGCGGTTGGCGTTATTCAACGCGCCATCGAAAGGGCGATGCTCGGAGTTTCCCGCTACACGCAAGTGAGAGAGGGAATCCGGAGCTCCGCCCTCCGCCGTCGATCGAAGAACATAGGCGCCATTACCGACTGGATTCCACAGGATGCCAAGCGAACATCTGGACGCCAACGACATAAGACTACTTCGTGAAAGTTCTGAACGAATGTATGAACTTCATCGCGCTCCTCAAGCCGAGAGAACCCACTGGGCAACACTTGCAGGAGACGTTACTGGCGCCCGCTGGAGAAAAGTGGTGATGACCAACGGGAGCACATGCGGTCGGACTGATACTCGATTATTTTCATTTTAGATTTTTTTTGTTGTCCAAGTGACATCTCTGAGCTGTTCGGTGTTGAGTGCCCTTCTCACTACGACCGCCTCCACTTCAACCGTCAAATACGACCCTCTATTAAGGAATCTCCAACGATGTTGTGGCCTGATCAATATTTAGATCGCAGTGCTGTCATCA